AGTGAACGCCACAGAAATGTTTACTTTATATTGAACTGTATTATTAAAAAAGCATGACAACAATGCATGTAGATAATTATTAAAATTAATAATTATCAATAATAATAATAATCAAATATTTCCCATCCCAATAATAAATATGTTTTTTTTAATCATAAAATAATAAATTAATTTCTGCTTTGAGTTTTAACACATTGACAATTATTTTTGGCTCTTTTGGCATTCCATACTTTAACTCTTAGCTTGTTCTGTGATCACCGGAGGAAAGCAACACTTCAGAGCTAAAATCAAGTTGAAACTATGTTTCTGTTTAGTCTGAATCAGCAGATGTGACACTGGAATTCCCCTCAAAGTGGACGCAAACTCTTGGAATCGTCAGGAGTCTCTACAATCCATGTTGTCCCATTAAAATCCCAAGTGGAAGACTTTCTCACAGGCAGAACGGCGGATTATGACGGTTGATCTGTTTCCCCCCATTAGTCGTTCAGTCCGTCAGTATTTTATCAGAGAAGCTTTGATTTTCCTCCTTGACCCACCCACTGTGACCCTAAGGTTTAGGGATCAAACAGGAACAGCAGCGTGTTCAGTGACAAACAGAAGGAAAGAACAAAGATATTAACCTGATTCATGTTTTGTTCCTGCTGGCTGATGGGAGGAGACCAAGTTTCCTAAAAACACCCAAAAAGTCAAACATTAAATCCATTCGTTCCCCATTAGGCCCTGTCCGGGTTCAAATGCTTAACCTTCCAAGACAAATGACCTTTTCAACGCTGTTGAAAACCAATCCAATGATAGGAAAACAAACTATTTGTTTTTGTGTACTCATGAGGACCTGGTCTGGTCACCAGCCTTGTCTGGACGTTAAATCCTCACAAACAACACATCCAAAAGTCAAACATAAAATCCATAAAGTTTGACTTCATCATCACTTTATACGTTTTTCAGGTTTCTGGCTGCATTTCAACAGATCTGACGTAAAATCCCTGAAAATAAGAAGATTCCCTGCCAAAGTTTTCTCTGTCATTGGACTCGTATATGTGGAAGGAGGACTCATTTGTTTGGCGATCTGCTGGACCTGCTTTCAGGAAACTGGGTCAGTGTTCTGTGACAGGAGCTGAAGGGTCTGAGTCAGAGAAAACAACAAGGGTTTTAAAGGGCAGTGCCGCTACCTGCTCTAAGGATCAGGAGAGTGAAACATAAAAGGAAAGATGGAGGTTATTTCCTTAAACTGTAAACAGGACTGATCCATCCTTTGAGTCAGGGATTTCCCTGATTCAGACTTTTTAAAAGTCTCCTGTTTTAATATGAAATTCAGATAAAGTTGCAGTAAAGTAGCTACAGTTTTCAGGGCAGTGCTGTTTGCCAGAAGAGGGCAGTGTTCACCCTGCTGTCACAGCCTCCCATCAACCCGCGCCCGAACGCATCACGGTCTGAAGGCCTGAAGCTGAGAGAGGAAGAACTTAACGACAGCAGCCTGAACTCTTTACTTTTAAATTAAATAGTGAGGCCTTTTTTATAGGTCCCACATACCTATAAAAAAGGCCTCATATTAACTCATGTAAACCTCTGCTACTTAAAAAACATCCATCCATCCATCCATTCATCCATCCTCAGGGGGGCGCTCATCTGTGACAAATTCAGAGTAACCAATTAACCTAACAGTCTTGTTTTTAGACATTATTGGGGAAGTTGGAGTACCCAGAGAGAACCCTCATGTGCAACGGGATAAACATGCAAAACTCTATGAAGAAAAGACCCAAAGCTGCTAACCGCTCCACCGAAGGTGTCCAATGAAGACGGAAATGTTAAGTAACTTACATTCAATAAGCCCAGAGACACGTTTGATTGACTGATCAGTCCTGTAGTTCATCCACATCTACAGGATCATTCAGGCATGATTGCTCAGCTGCAAAGATGGTTCCTGGCTGCTCTTTCCAATAGATTTTTAGATTCTTAAAGCAACGTTACAGTTTTCTTCTGATGCAGCAGAGAGGTTTCTGTCACACCATGACGCTAAGTTTCTTCGAGGATAACTAAAATTCTGCTATTCTGAAACCTTCGTCTTCATCTCCCTCCCCTGCCTGTTTCTCATTTAACGTCAATCTTTCAGTCAAAAACTGATCCTTAAAAAAATTGGGGAATATCAGGAGAAAAATAAATAATAAATATAAAAAATAGAATATGGAGAGATTAAACAATTTAACGTTTTTTTTTTTTACATTTATAGCTATTGGGAAAAATGTTTTGTGGATCAAATAATTTTCTGTCATCAAGATTTGATAATTTCTATCTATTTCATTTTTTTTAAATAACATAAAGCGATAAAATAATGAAAATAATGAAACATTCCTGTAGGAGTCATGATTTAACAGTCTAAACTGAGGAGTTTAAATCATCAGATGTCATCGACTGGTTGCTTTTGGTTGAACCAGAAAATATATTCAGAGGACTTGTTTTTATCCACTCTGTCACCCTCGTTGTTTTACCTCAAAAAATAAAATAAAATAGAAAACCTGAACCAATCTCAGTAATGTAATATCGCATCATAGCCACATTAAAAACAGAACAGGTGTGCCTAAATAAATCTAGCAGTCCTACAGTGATCCATGCTGTGATAGTAATAATATCACATATCATTATATCTGAGGTGGGGCTTCTGTTCAGACTAGATCTCAGTTACACAACGCTGCTGTTAGTGTCTTCATAAATTATTGAAATTCCCCGAACCATTGAGGGGCTGTCGCTGTGCTTTAAAAAAAATAAATCATGCAAAATTCTCCTCCTAAAGTCTATCATGACAGGGGACACATGTCAGTGAACGCAGCAGCATGCAACGGTGCCTCGGCCCGATGAAGCCAACGCTTCGGCTCCTGCTACCCTTCGCCTCTAATATCAGTCGTTTCTTCAGCCAGCTTAGTTCCTATGAAAACCATCCTTCTTTGACACGACCTCGAGCTGTCTGCTGAGGTCCTGCAAATAAACAAAACCCAATGCTGGCAGAAAGACGCAGGTTCTTGCACTTTTTGCATCTATCATTCAGAAAAAAAGAAAATTAAAAAACAATCCACCGGACTTTGTTTCCAAGTTTGAAGAAGTTTTGCTTCCCATCCAGGAAGCTTTTTCAATTCAAAATGTCAGGAATAGCGTTGAGTTTGAGGTTTTATACAGTAGCCCAACAAGACCTTGTTTTTGTTTTGAAAACATGCAAATCTTTAGGGTGGACCCCTTTGTCTGTTTCAGCTTTGAAAAACCTACAATGCAGCAACTGAGTTAATCCCTTCCGACCATCACCATCATTATCATCATCATCATCATCTTTGTACAGGAGAGCGAGGACCTCACCTATTCAGTCAGGCCAACAATTCCCTTTAACGACCCCCATTTCAGAGACATAGACAGGTATGGGGCATTGCAGTTTAAAAAAAGAAGCCAAACGACCCCCATTCCAAAGGGGTGGACCCCTTCGTCTGTTTCAATTTGCATGTTTTCAAAACATAAACAAGGCTTCGTTGGGCTGCTGTATAAAACCTCAAACTCAACGCTATTTCTGACATTTTGACTTGAAAAAGCTTCCTGGATGGGAAGCAAAACATCTTCAAACTTGGAAACAAAGTCCAGAAGATTGTTTTTAACATTTTTTGGAATGACTATGACCTGGATGACTGAGAATCTTCAACAGCTTGTTGCATCTATCCTTTACTGACATTAGCTAGCTACACTTGTTTATTTAAAAACTGTTGGATTCCCTTTCATTGCAAACAGAGAAGTTAAAACTTTTTATAATCTATGTCTAGTTAAATATTCTGCATTACTTTATTCCAGTTATTTTCAGGAGTTACTCGTCTGTGTTTACTTGTTTCCTCATTAGGTCCATTTCCAGTTTAAATGACCTTAAAAAGGAACAAAGTCGACTTTTTTGAATTGAATGACAGAAAAACACTTTGTTAAATTTCAATCCAATGCATATGCACGAAATATGACAGAAATGCAGACTTGTTTTGGTGGACTAGTGAGGACCTAGTCGGCTCACCTGCCTTGTCCGGACTTTAAGTTCTTAAAAAAAAAAACTTTCTTGTTAAGAGAACTTCAATCACATTTGAGGTTCAGATTTGTGCTAAAAAGTTTCTCTCTAATCTCAAATAATATGAAGACTATGGACGCCAGCCGTCAAACCGGTTATTCATTTGTCACAATTAGAGAATTAATATTTCATTTTTAGGAATAATTTCACTTTTAGAGATCTGATTGAGGAAGGAAAGTAGCAAGACTGCATAGCCTTAAAACCTTAAAAAACAGCTATAATAAGTCATTTACTAGTGGTTTCCTCTTTGACAATATTTATACAAGTTTATCCTTTTGTGCTTTCTTGAAATCAAGTGTTAATGTTCAAAGGCTTTGAAGATGGTTTTCATAGAAAGAGGCTCCAGGCGGTACCAGTTCTAAACAATCTAAAACATGCAGAAAAGTGGACTTAGTGAAAATGATGGTGAACAAAGAAAGGCTTCAATCTCAACTCTGATCACCAACGAGATCCCCTCCCCGATCCTGCTCAGAGGAGGAAGTCCAGTCTGTCACCGATCTTTAAAACGGCAGTGTCTGTGACTAAACCCGGAACAAGTTCCCGACCCGTTAGAACAAAAAAACCAAACAAACTGTGACATCTGAACGGAGCTGAGTCCGTCTGATTCAACAAAGATTCAGATTCAAGATTCAAGATTCAAGATTCAACAAAGGAGAAAAGGAAGAAGCACGGCGTGTAGAAAGTTAGAAAGTTTTAGCATTCATCAGGAAACAAAGGAAGTGAAGTTTCTACATGGCTTAAAGCTTCAGAGTTCGGAGCGCTCGCTCCACTCCACAGATATTTTGTCAACGTTGTGACAGAAATGATGATGATTACAATGTGTTGATGAAGAGTAGGTGTGCTAGCCTCCTGGCACTAATTCAGCAGGACTTTTTGCATAAAATGTAAATCTCCATCATCAACGTCCTGTTTTTATCTATTTTTTTGTTTCCGAGCAAGCCCCTCCCCCACGCCCTTGCTCGTTTATTTCATAACAAGCAAGAAGAATTTCCCCATTTTTAAAATCTTTTTTACGCTGTTTTCTTCGTCATTGTTGTCTTGGCGGGTTGGTTGTCGTCGGTGTGGTTGTAGTTGCTGAACACAGGGATTGTTAAAATGGTTCTCGTCCTCTTCCGTCTGCACCTGCTGGGGGGGCGCCGCAGGCTATGACGCCTCCCGCTCTGTGGAGGAGTGGGCAGACCCCCGCGCCGGTCGATCCAAGCTCCTGGCACGGCCACTGTTCAGCGTCGGGCTTCGTGAAGACTTCAGCAGCTTCTCCTCAAGCTCATGCAGAGACGGCTCCTTGTACATGCAAACTGGAGAGGGGAAGGATGTGGGAGAAAGGGTGAGAGAACAATAGTTCATCAATTCCACTTTTTCCAAACTGACTTTTGATTTTCCAAAATTTCTTAGGTAACGCTTTCTTTTAAAGTACATTAATAACTATGTAATAACATGGTAATAACATAGCAAGTCACACTATATTACTTGGTAACAAGAAAAACTATTTGATAATTACCCCAAAATTAAGGTATATAGTTTCAAAGTCATTTCATGTAATTATTACATGTATGTCACTGTGTAACAATGGAGGCTTTGGGTGGTTTACCACATAACAGTTTCTATTATTGGCCACCACCTTCCAACGGCTTACAAAGTAAATCTAACTTGTGATCAGGTAAGTAAAACATTATAAAACTGAACTCAAGTTACGTATAAATAAGAGTTTAGATAAAGGTATAGGAATGATTTACGCAATCTTTTGAGAAAATCCGCCCTCTCTACTTTAAAAAAAAAAAGCACATGCACCACCTGTAGCCACTCCTTAAAGGGAACGCCTATTAAACGATGGTGAGAGCGTGCACGAGCCCATTTCTCCTGGTGCACGCTCTGTTTAAAAGTTGCTGTTTGCATCGCTCATACAAGCTTACTTTCCAAAACAAGATCTGCAGTTTTTCCACTATTTCGGACTCACCACAGGTAAGTGAAAATGGGGACGAGCACGTAGGAGGAAGCATATCATCAGAATGACTGACAATTAGGAGGACCACTTATTTTGATGATCCACCCGCACAACAAACATCCTCCATTATACCTTTAAGAAGATTGGCTTGCTGCACAAAGGCGTAGGTTTGATTTCAACTTTAGTAGGGACACTTTTGGTCCTATGCAAAAATATGCATGCTCATTTTTCTTATGCTTGACGTGAAAATCAGGGTGTATTTTGTTTAAAGAGAAAGCAGCATTTCTTGCTACATTTGTAAAAATGTTATAAGCTCTACACACTAGATGCTGTTTATCAATGTTTGAAGCATCATTGGCTCTGATGAATGAGGAATTATGACTTTTTTTCCACTTTGAAAAGGTTTGCATTTCAAATTACCAGCGACTAAGACAGAAAGTAAATCTGTGCCTATTTAACTAAATAAAGTCTAAATATGTCTGTTTTATGTGGATTTATCTTTTCTTTTGAAGATGTACAATTGTGCAGAGTTAAAACCCACACTTATCTTTTAAATATTCTCTTTGTATCATGAAACAAAGCAAAATAATAGATTTAAGGGACACAAAATTTATGTATTGTATTTACATGAGCACTGGAACCGACCCTGAGCATTTAGAATATTAATTTCACTCTAAAAGTCATCTAGGGCTGTAGTTACTCTATTTAACCCATATCATGTATTTTATCTTGCTCTTAAAAAATTCATCGGAATAATCGATTATTAACCCTTTAAGGTCAAGTGTATCATAGTTGATACAGGATATTTTGAAACCTCAGCATCATCAGTGTGATGTTTTTGTTCTTCAAACCCTGACTTACATAATCAGACACATGTGGTGAAGAGAAAACATATGAAAACAAAGAAATGCATAATATATCGAAATTGATGCAAATAAATTATGTAATTTAATGTTTTTACAAAATTTATATAGTTATTTCATTTGTCACAAAGTTCAATGACAATTCTAATTTTGGAAAATTAGAATCTTCTGTCAATTATTTCCTGGTTCAGGGTTTAAAGAGTTAAAATGTCAACAAATTTAGGAATCGATTAATCGTTAACTGGAGTATAGAGACTCTAAAACATGTCTTTAGCTCACAGAGGGACCCACTTTGAGCAGGAATGATACCATATAATTGTATAATTGTAAAAAAAATATATATATATAAACAAAAATGTTTTCATCTGTCAATATATCCATCCCCTCTACTGCTGCAACAAAGCTGTATTGTAAATTATAAACATGTTATTCACATCTAATTGTTGGTAGGGACAAGTAGGTCGGTCCAAAATGTTGGTAGGGACATGTCCCTATGGTCCCTATGCAAACCTACGCCCATGTTGCTGTATTCTAGGTTTAGTTTGTGATATGCCAAGTAATAAACTGCATTTTACTAAATAATAACACATTAATTTATTGCTGTCAGTGAAATGACTGAATTACCTGGTAATAGCTGTTTGAAATTTAAGAAGTCTGACTTTACCTTGTCTGCTTGAAGCACAGCACTTATCAAAATTCTCCATAAACTCTCCATTTTTATTGTTACCTAGTAATAAAGTGTAACCTGTTATGTTATTACCTTGTTATTACATGTTTATTGATGTACTGTAAAAGAAAACACTACCATTTCTTCAATATTTCTGGAGATGTAAGTTTAGAAGGTTAACCTTTAATGGGTCCAACCTCAGTTGGACCCTCTTGCTGAAGGAAAACACTGCGCCCAACTTTGCCATCATGAAGCCTACACCTGTATTATTCTAAAATTAATTTGTACTATTTAAATCAACCTTGATTTCCTTAAAAAAAAAAAAACTATAAATTTGGCAATTTAACATCAAAATCCAAACTTATTTTAAGCATTTTTTCAAGGATCTAGAGGCATTTTTTAGAAACACAAGAACAATTTTTTTTTTGTAAAATAAAAAAATAAAAAGATTTTATATTCAGACATTATATTCCAGTTTGTTTTCTCAGTTTGTTTTTTATTTACCATCCAGGTATAAAAGCTAATAGCAATAATTATCCTCCTAGAGCATAATTCATGTTCCGGACTTCATTGCAATATAGCTGATCCTAATGTCTAAATAGTGACAGAATTTGTTACTAAAATAAAATGCTCAATAAGTTATTAAAACATTTTTTTCAGCTGCAGGGAGAAAAAACTGTGCTAATTTCACTCGTTTAGGAAGAACCTGGAAGCAGCTGGTTCTGATTCTGATCCAGTTAAATCCATCAGTCCAGTTGATTCAGTATTACAGAAATCAGTGTGCTGGAGGGATATAGTAGATTATAGTATAATAGATAAAAACATAGAAAATTATCTAGAGGAGGTTCCTCAGGCTAAAATTAGGCTGCAAGTAAGAAACGATCTTAATACTTGAAATGGAAAGTAGGGAGGGGATGAAAAGCAACAGCAGCCAACAGAGCAACTGAAAGAAGAAACTGAGCCTCATGTTTCCTAATAAACCGCCATCTGTGTTATTTAAGATTCACCTCGACCTCGAGGAAGCGTCTGTAGGACATCTGACTAAACTGTTAATGTTTCAGACACACATGGACTTTAAACAGACCTCACTTACATCTAAGGCAGAGGGTTAGGGATGTTGAACTCTAAATAAGCAGACATTACACTGCATTTTTTCATTTTTTCTTTCAATAAGTGCATTTTGTCTTGAATTGAGGAGGAAACAGACATTTTGCCAATGGAATGAGACAATTTACATTTAAAATAAGAAAAAAAACAACTGCATTGTCTTATTTCAAGTGCATATCATCTAATTATCTTATTTTAAGAGTGAAAATACTATTGACAAAATCTCATTTACCAACTCAAATTAAGGGTAAATGCACTTAATTTAAGATACTTTTACTTCTTTCTAGATGTTTTTTCCAGTGTAAACTCTAAATCTTTCTGTAGGTTTATAATTTATATAATCCAATCTTGTTTTTTTCGAGTACTTATTCTTTCAATAGGCAGAAGGTAGATTCTCATTGATACTGGTCCTGAAAATCCTAATCAAACTGCTCTTGTTTCTTCATTAAGGTCCTCCCCTCGTCTGCGAGGCCCCTACAGTTCAACATGAATAACAGCAGAGAGTTTTTCTTCTCACCTTCAATAGGCCTGGGGACGAAATGTGAGCAGGGTTTAGTCTTCTTCACTCGGTTCCCCTTCATGATGATTCCTTCCTTGTTCAGACCCAGGAACCAGGCCCGGCCGGACTCATGCTGCCGGTACAGGGTGGATGAGTAGATGACGTAGTAGTTTTCGAACACAGACTCTTTAAACTTACATTCTGGTGTGAAAACATCCTGGAAAAAAGGCGACATAAAATTTATTTATTTTTATTTTTTGATATAGTTATAAAAACATAATAGTACATGAACTCTAAAGCTACATTTTTAGACAAGTCACCCAAACATGTCTAAATTACATGTCAAGTAATTAGAACGGACGACGATGGAGTCAGATGTAGGAGTTTGCCCTGCAACTGGAGGGTTGTCGGTTCAACCCTCAGGTCTGGCTTTAAGTGTTGTTGTGTCCTTGGGCAAGACACTTCACCTGCATGGTGGTCAGATGACCTGGTGGGGTCAGTGTACGACAGCCTCGCCTCAGTCAGTGAGCCCCAGGCCAACTGTGGCTACAGTGAAGTTTGCCATCATCAGTGTGTGTGACTGAATGACTGAATGTAGTGTAAAGCGAAGCGCTTTGGTCGTCTCCTGACTTGAAAAAGCGCTATAAGTACAGGCCATTTACCACTAAATCTATTATATCAGTTTAAAAAAGAAAACAGGATTTGGAACAAGTTATAATAATACTTAATTTGCACATTTTAATTCAATATGCAAATTAGGCTTAATTGTGCAATGAGGTCTGTGAGATACGGAGGTGGGATGTTGTTGATTTGAAAACAACAAGTCAATCCCAAGTTTTTTCCAGTCAGGTCTAGAGTCAGGCCCGAAATAAAGATATTTAGTTCCCAAGTTCAAGATGGGTTCAAGATGACGGTTGTTACGCCGCCTCTTTTCTCTTACTTTCTCCTTTTTACGCTGTTTTTTTCCCCTGTAACTATTGTAAGGGGTTTATTGTGCAAGCGCTAACATGGGAAGCCACCTTTTTTGACTGTGCTGCTAAGTTTTCTTTTACTTTTGGCACACGGGGGGATCCGTTTGTCCAAAGCTCCAGACGTCCCATTTTCTACACCCAGGGACCAGCTACTCAGACTTTGTGACCACGCTGAGACCAGACATCCCTACAGACATACAGGGAGGCTGCAGGGGTGACGGGTTGAAACGGAGGAATGCTTCTTTTGCATTCATTTCAATTCAGTTTATTTATATAGCGACAATTCACAAGACGTCATCTCACTTTACAGAGATTATTCAAACAGATCATACAGTCAAACTGATTCAAAGGACACCAGCTGATTGCATCGACCGATTGACTTGAAGGCAATTCCTCACACCAAGCATGCTTACAGTGACAGAGGAGAGGAAAACCTCCAGCAGAACCAGGCTCAGTGTGAGCGGCCATCTGCTGAGGCCGACTGGGGTTCAAGGAGACAGAAGCAGAGATACAGAAAGCAGCTGTAAACCAGCTCCACAGACGGCCCCGTCCAGGAAACACTCAGCCAGGCGGACGAGCTCTGAGCCAGCTCCTATCTCAGACGATGAAGAGAGCACATCCAGTTAGTCACAGTAAGAGACCCAGGACTACACTGAAAAACAGGCCAAGCTCCAACATCTAAAAAAAGGTGTTGATGGCAGAAACACAGCTGATATTTTCCCATTGTGGGACAATAAAGAGATTTTCTATTCTATTCTATTCTATTCTATTCTATTCTATTCTATTCTATTCTATTCTATTCTATTCTATTCTATTCCATTCCTCTCTCCAGGCTGGTGTCATAGCCAAACAGGAACAGACCAGATTAAGCTACTATGTGAAAAAGCAGAGAGGGCAGTACGTTAGAGATTGAACTAACAAATTATGCAGAATGGAAGAACATCTCTGGTCATGGGAAACGTAAGATCTCTCCCCAAAAATAATGAGGACCTCACAGCCCTAACCTATTTCCAGATAAAGTACAGGAAGGCTAGAATCAAGTGCTTCACTGAGACCCTGTTGGATGAACTTGGACTCCTGGACAGTTTTAAACTAATCTGTGTGGAAAGGACTTTGGCAGCCAAAGAAGAGAGGCGGGGGTTGGCATGTTTGTGAGAGAGAGATGGTGTAACACGACTTATGAAGGAGCAGACATGCTCCTCAGACATGGAACTACTTGTGGTGGGCTTGAGGCCATACTATCTCCCACAGAAGTTTGTGGCCATGTTATCATGCTCTCTGCTTCACAGTGCAGTGATGTATCACTGACTGCATGACCTTCTGTGTAGAGAGCACTATGCCCACTCTGGGGTTTAATTTAGGTGAATTTTTGGGGAACCAATTGTTAAAAATGTGTGCTTTTAATGTCATTTTCCAATCAGTAATTACGCCACAAACTTATTCTTTTTAATAGGTTGTCATTAATTTTAATCCTATTTCCCATCTCTTTATTACTGTATTTCATACATTTTGTTTTGTGTAGATTCAATTAGGGCTGCAACTAATGATTTTTTTGCTTATTGATTAAACTGTTGATTATTTTTTTACATTATTGGATTAATAATCCTAGATTTCTTTTTAATACAGTTGCCAAACTCACCCAGAGCCATAGCTCTGTTGAACCGTCCATTCCACCTGCTCTTAACAGCAATGATTTTATGGGATTCTTTATAAATAAGATTGATCTTATTAAAAATAAGATCATAAGCACTCCTCTATCCGCGATTGTACCTGAGGTAGTCATGGAATCTGAACCGGGTTTAGACTGCTTTGATCCAGTTGAACTTTCTGAATTAGCAAAATTATTGTCTTCATCTAGGCCTTCAACTTGTATGTTAGATCCAGTTCCAACCAGGTTATTTAAGGAGGTATTCCCTTTGATCTCCTCCTCCATTTTAGATGTGATTAATCTATCTCTGTTACAGGGATATGTACCTAAAGCTTTTAAGGTTGCTGTAATTAAACCTCTGCTTAAGAAACCGTCTCTTGACCCAGATGACTTGGTCAATTATAGACCTATATCCAATCTTCCTTTCTTATCCAAAATTCTTGAGAAAGTAGTTGCCAAACAAGTTTGTGATCACTTACACCATAATGAACTTTTTGAAGAGTTTCAGTCTGGCTTTAGAGCTCATCATAGCACTGAAACAGCTCTGGTGAAAGTCACTAATGATATTCTCATGGCCTCAGATAATGGACTTGTATCTGTGCTCGTCCTGTTGGATCTTAGTGCTGCATTTGATACAGTTGACCATAATATTCTTTTAGAAAGACTTGAATATTTTGTTGGAATTAAAGGAACAGCACTAGACTGGTTTAAATCCTATCTATCTGATCGAATTCAGTTTGTTTATGTTAATGATAGATCTTCAACACACTCAAAGGTTACCTGTGGAGTACCACAGGGATCAGTGCTAGGACCAATTCTCTTTACTTTATAAATGCTCCCAATTGGTAGAGTTATTAGACAGCATGGGATTAATTTCCACTGTTATGCTGATGATACCCAGCTATATCTGTCTATAAATCCAGATGAAGCTAACCCATTACATAGATTACAAGCATGTCTTGAAGACATAAAAACCTGGATGACTCTTAACTTTCTGCTTCTGAATGCAGACAAAACAGAAGTTATAGTCTTTGGACCAGAGTCTCTGAAAAAGAAGCTGATTAGCCAGTCACTCATTTGGATGGGATTAAACTGATTTCAGATAATAAAGTAAAAAATCTTGGTGTTATTTTTGATCAGGACCTGCCATTTAAATCCCAGATCAAAGAGGTTTCTAGAATTTCCTTCTTTCGTATGAGGAACATTGCAAAAATTAGAAATCTCCTGTCCAGGGGTGATGCTGAGAAACTAGTCCATGCATTTGTTACTTCAAGGCTGGACTATTGTAATTCTTTACTATCAGGAAGTCCACAAACTGTAGTTAAAAGCCTTCAGCTGATCCAAAATGCTGCAGCCAGAGTTCTGATGAAAATTAAAAAGAGAGATCATATCTCTCCTATCCTGGCTTCTCTTCATTGGCTTCCTGTTAAATCAAGAATAGAATTTAAAATCCTCCTTCTCACATATAAAGCCTTAAATGGCCAAGCTCCATCTTATATCAGAGATCTGATTGTTCCTTATGTTCCTAACAGAGCACTTCGCTCTCAATCTGCAGGTTTACTAGTGGTTCCTAGAATTTCTAAAAGTAGAATGGGAGGCAGATCTTTTAGTTATCAGGCTCCTCTCCTGTGGAACCAACTACCAGTTTTAGTCCGTGAGGCAGACACTCTGTCTACTTTTAAGGCTAGGCTTAAAACTTTCCTTTTTGATAAAGCTTATAGTTAGGGTGGCTCAGGTTATCCTGAGCTCTCTCTCTATATTTATGCTGCTATAGGCTTAGACTTTTGGAGGACATAGGGACCCCCATTTCATCATTCTGCTTCATTCTCTCTCTGTTCTCCTATTCTGCAGAATCTGTTAGTTCAATCTCTAACCTTCTGCTCTCTCTGCTTTTCCTCAGAGTAGCTTTGCCTCGTCTGTTCCTGTTTGGCTGTGACGTCATCCAGGAAAGAAACATCAGCTGTGCTGCTTCCATCAACACCCTTGTTTGTAGATGTTGGAGATCGGCCTGTCTTCAGGTGTGGTCCTGTTTCTCTGGCCGTGGCTGGGTGGATGTGCTCTCTTCATCCTCTGGCATGGGAGCTGCCTTGGAGCTCGTCTGCCTGGCTGTGTGTTTCCTGGACGGGGCCGCCTTTTACAGCTGCTTGTATCTCTGCTTCTGTCTCCTTGAACCCCAGTCGGCCTTGGCAGATGGCCGCTCACACTGAGCCTGGTTCTGCTGGAGGTTTCTTCCTGTTAAAAGGGAGTTTTTCCTCTCCACTGTCGCTACAAGCATGCTTAGTGTGAGGGATTGTATTTGAGTCAATGAGTCAATGCAATCAACTGGTTTTCCTTAGATAGAAAACTTTGTATCAATTTGACTGTATGATCTGGTTGAACTGTAAAGTGCCTTGAGATGACATGTGTTGTGAATTTGGCGCTATATAAATAAACTGAATTGAATTGAATAATCGGATAGCAAAAGGTTCCTTAAAGAAGACTTTTTATCGATTTAAACCAGGCGAAACTAAAATGTTTCTACTTGAGGAGTTCTGAATAGAGGGTATTGACAGATGATAAAGTTTTTTTTCATCTTAAATAGAAAACATTTATATATTT